CAGCATAGAATGATACTTTAATATCCTGATCTGGAAGATGTTAACCATGTTATTAAAAGCTCAAAACAGAGTCCTTAGTTCAGGGTTTCCTAGGCTTTTGGAAATGGTATCATCAACTGTCATTTCTCATTTCACTGATGACTGATCTTCTGAGTACTCTAAGCTGTTTTCATCGAAAATATTTATAAACTGTGTACAAAAGATAATACTAGGAATGTAGAAGTTCTGCTGAAGTGACATGAATGATATCTTCAGGAGACACCAACCAGTTAGGTGTGGAGCTGAATCCTCTTTTGTGCTAAAACTTTACAGAAAATACCCATGATTTGAGTAAGCAGCTGTTGGCATTGTAAGTATTTTTCTCCAAAGCCAAACAGAACAATACTATGTAACGGAGAACTTCAAACCAAAATGTCTGGTCTTACTCAAATTAGTGAAATGAAGTGCAAAAGTAAATGTTACACATGGTGAGTGTGCTTTATTGGAGTTTGCAGATGTGTTCGCCCTTCCCTGCGTTGGTACCTGTTCTCGTTTGCATGGTCATGCTGCCGCCTTGTGGGTATTAAATGTTTGCAGCAAATGCGTGTGTTCTGTACTACTGCAGACAGCTCTGGGTTTCTGGTTAGGGAGCTTAATGATTAGCAATGTGGGTGCTCAGGTGCAATTTTGCATCTTCAGGGTTGTAAACAAGGATTTGCATTTTGCTTTAAGAAGTCATTTTTCTGAGCAATGTGTGAATCGTGTTTTGTTTTGGTTGGTTGTTTGGGTTTTCTTACTATTGACTTCAGAAACTTGAAAAAACTTACTTTTGTGTGCAACTTTTCAAATGGAAAAATTAGCAAAACTTGGTTTAAGAAATCATCTTCTAACATGTTTTAATGAAATGTGGAAAAAACATCTTAGGAAAACAACTATCTAGAATTAAACCTTTCTTTCATTGTTGTCCCCCAAACATGGAAATATTAAGCATTAAGCAAATCAGCGAGACTAAAGTAACCTAATTTAGCTTTTCTGCTGCATCAGGGAACTGGTTAGTTCATATTTATGGGAGATTCTGAGAACAGAAGAAAGGAACTTCCCTGGATTCCTGACATGTTGTTCTCACGCTTCATTTGGGACAAAAGTGGGAATGTACCAAACCTCTTCTTTCTCCACGCGGCTAGGTCCTTTTACTGCTCTTCGCTGTAAGGAGGGCAGGAGGAGAAACTAGCACATAGAGAGAAACAAACACTTTACCCTAGATCTTGGTGTCTAACAGGAGTGTGAATTAAATGTATATAGTGTTCTTGCCTGCTCTTTTGGCATAGCCTTTTGGTTTCTGCCAATTTGCTAGGTATCTGCACTTTTACTGTGAATTCTATAATATGTGTAGGTTGCTTTTGCACATTAATATTAAATATTTAAAGTATTGAACATGCATATAGATTAGCTTTTAAGTTAGGGATGAGTATCACTTCTTGATAACTTGTATGTTGATTCCTGTTAGGAAATCTTTAGCAATTTGATATGCTTAGTGTCCAAGATTGCTTATGAAGGAATTATAAGTATTATTTTTCCAAACAAAAATATTACCATTGGAAATTCAGTATTATTGTCAGAGAATTTCTAAGCTTAGGGTTTTGATTTATTTAAAAAAAAAAAATCTGATTTATATTGGAAAGTATAAAGCTAGAACATCCCCTGTTTTCCCCACTTTAAGATAAACTACACAGAACACGATACTGGAATGAGGCAATTTCTTAATTCTTTTTTTCCCCTGAAGGGTAACGTAGATTTAGAAATTGGTTAAGGAAGTTGAAAGATCAGTCATCTATATCCATGTCTTCTACCTTCAGAGGCCAATAGTTTATAGAAATTTGCAGTTAGTTCTTAAGGCATTTCAATCAAATAATTTAGATACATATGTCATGTAACTTTTAACAAGGAAAAACAGCACAGAATTCAAAATCTCATATAAATCTCATAAAACACATCAAAGGGCAGACCATTTTTGTGCAACCCAGTGAAGTATGTCAGTGCCTTTATGTAGAGTTCATCTAAATACTTCTCTCCAAATATTCGCTTCAGATATTAATGTTTGCTTAGCATTTCACAGTCCATTTTCCTCCTAAAGCAATTCCTGTATTTTCTTAATATTGTTCTTCTACTTTACTGCTAGTATTTCTACTACAGCAATTGCATGTTTATCTTGACATTATTTATCCAGCATTTCTGTTAGTAGTTTTCTCAGAGCCATTTATATTGCTTATTCCAAATTTTTTTCTGTAACTTTTTTTGGGGGTATTTTTTCATACTTAGATTCCTTATGAGTTACTATCTATATAAAATTCTGTCCATGTGGACTTAAATTCTGGTAACATGGCAACTTGCTATCTTTATTTTAGATTAGAACACTATTGAAAAGAAACTAATGAAACCAATAGCTCATCCAGTCCTTTTTTCATACGTATTTTTGTTACCCTTGAAACTCTTTCGTCTGTCAGTCATTCCCCTCCAGCAAAAATATTTTAACCTTCTCTGATCATTTATAGATCACTGTCTAATCTGACACTCCTAGACATAAATATAATATTGAGCACTGATAGCACTGTTCAGTTATGAACTTCAAAAGTACTTAAAGGCTCCTGTTAAGCCTTCCATGACGACTGTAACATGTTTTGTTACTTTAATCCATCATAGCCTACATGAGCTGAGTGCCATATCTGGTAAAGTTGAAAGATTTTAATATCTTGTACTTATCTATGAACTTGTGTGACAGTTAGGACCTCTAACTTGCAGCATCTGTCCTGCAAGACAAGAGGTGTCATTGGAAAATTCAAGTCGTTAGAAGGCTTTTAATTGATGATATACGCTGTCACCTATCTATTTGTGGCATTGATAGCTTTTATCCCCTTTTTCTGAGAATAATTTTGTAAACAATGGCAGTGTTTTCTGATCTTAGTTTAGAGAAAATGCATCTTTCCTTGAAACACTCCCTTTGACTTTCTGGCCTGTGCTGATGTGCATGCTACCTGTTTGACTAGGGCATTAGTCTTTCTCTTTCTGAGACAGCCAGCTCAGATGACAGTTTTAGGAAGAGTGGTTGGAGGCTGAATGATGAAGAGTTTTAATAATCAGCTGGGTTCACACATGTTAAAGTAATGCACAGTCACTGAGCAGGTCACCCTCTCAAGGGAATGCTAACTCTAGTGCTATCAGAAAAAATCTACTGATAAATTTAAAACATATTGACTTTGTGTGGCATGCAATCAAAAGCTGGTGGTAATAACCCAGCAGGGTTCTTAATCACTTTGCTGTTAGTGTCATGCTCCTGCTGTCATATTTCTAAAGGTTTATTTGTTAATTTGTTGAACAGAATGCTTAAGTGACTTGTATGGTTTCCAACTTTTTCTGTGCGAAGGGTATATGTAGCATAATATTAGACTTCCAGATAGTATAGGGGAGATTTTTGAGAGACATTACTACATGTGTTTGCAACACTATGTGGATATACTCATGGGTCTCAAGAGGCTTTTAAACCTGTTTGGATTTTTAAAATTTTGTTTGCTTGTGAGAATGTAACTCTTGTTAGTCTGAACACATGATGGGAAATACTGGGTAAATTAGCGTATGTACCTCTTCAAAACAAATACTTTACTTGAGTATTCCAGGAATAGCGGTGTAGATTATAGCTGCCAGCACAGTAGAATTTTGTCAAGATGAGCCCATTTATCCTGGTATGAACTGGACTTTTCTTCTTCCCTCCCTGGTGAAGTGATCTTCCACAACAAATATGTCATCTTATTTCAGCCATTATCATATGATGCTTTCATCCTTTTCAACAAAAGATCTTGAAAATTACTTCTGGGAATACTTTTTTTAAAAATTGGGAAGTAATATAAGCATTTATTTCTAGAATGAAGTTCGTTCCTGCTCCACAGAACCCTGCAGAAAAGGGGGGGGTCCTGGTCGACGTGAAGTTAAAACGTGATTTAGCAGTGCATTCTTGCGGCAATAAAGACTAACAGCATACTGGGCTACACTAGAAGTGTATCTAGCAGGTCAAGGGAAGTTATTATTATTCCCTTCTGTTGGCAGTCTTGAGGCTACATCTGAAATACTGTGTTCATCTTTGAGTCCCATGGTCTAACAGACATATAAAAAAACCTGAGTCCAGCAAAACAGAAACTAAGAGGGTTAGGAGGGTGGAATAGCTGGCTTATGCAGCAAGGTTAAGGCAGCTAGGCTGCTTTAGTGTTCAAAAGAGAAGACTTGAAGGAAACCTACATGCTGCCTTCTGCTCTCTGAAGGAGTGGGAGATTCATGTAAAAGACAGATCCAGATGCTTTTCAGAGGAGTACAGTGAAAGGGCAAGAGGCAATAATGTGAAGTTGCAAGAAGGGATGTTCCAGTTGGGCATAATTAAGAAATAAATATTACTGTATTGATTAAGTACTGGTTTTTAAAGGGTCATGAATGCTTTCAATCAGGATTTTTTTAAAAAGCATGTAGATAATGAAAAAAATGCCAGTTCTCAGAGTGCTGTAATGAAATATCATTGTGCTTCCTGTTCTGATCCATCTTTGTAGAAGGTAGAAAGAAAATTACATATACTTAGCTTTTTTAAAGCTAGAAAGAAGAAAACTGAAGTAGGAAGGTGAAAAGGTAATCTGCAGTTCAAGAAAGATTAATACTACTGGCGAGTCCCTGAAACTTAAAAGCCCAAATGCATGCTTATGTCCATTGTAGCAAAAAATATAAACTTGTAGTTAACTTTTTTAACATTTGGGCTATGTAGAGGAACAGACATGCTGATTTTAATTCCTTTAACTGTGTAATATAAATTATATATATTAAGTTGCATTTTGATCTAAAATATTCTTTGTTAAGATAATACTGTCTGATAATATCTTAAATGGTTAACTCAGACTTTTTAGTTATACTTTCATATTTTAATGTTGGCAGGTGGAATTTTTCTCAGATTCTTGTCCTTGTACTACTAAAATTATCCCTAACTAAAGATGCATCCAGACCTGTCTCCTCATCTACACACTGAAGAATGTAACCTAGTTATCAGTCTGCTCAAGAAGTGTCACAAGGAGGTAAGGAGTTTTGAGCAGAGAAAAGAGTGGGTGGGTTGGGGAAATAAGTGTCAGATAAATTAGTGAGAATATTATATGATCATAGAGAGAAAAACCTCCTCTAGGCAGAACAGCCATGAAATGTAGCTAGTACGTTTTCACTGAAGAGGCATCTGACAACTGTGTGTAAAATTTTGCCATTGATTTCATTAGGAAATAAAACATGCCTTAAAATTTCCTGTGCTACAGCTTGACAAGTATAGACCTATTTTAAGAATTTAAATAATTTCTGTACCTTTTAGTAGTGTGTGCCCCTCAAAAAAACAATAATAAAAGCAACTTCAAATGCCCTCTTTTTGTACACTCACAGCATTTCCATATTCCGGCTGTCCACTGGGCAGATGTTTCAGTCTGTTTATAAGCAGATGTGTTGACGGGGATCCGGACATGCAGCATGCCTTATGTTCAGTGCTTGGAGAGCTAAATGGGAATTACTCTTTGACTTCCATCTTCTTAATAGGCACCTACCTAAGGGTGTAAAATGCCAAATTGTCTTCAGGCTCCTCAAGGCTCTTCATTGCTTCAAGAAGATAGAATCTTCATCTTATTTAAAAGCCTTTTTTAAAATTTGCTCTGTAGTAAACCTCTCGATGTAGAAGAGTCAGCCCCTGCAATGAAAGCTATCTGCACCATTATTGCAATATTGTTAATTATTTTCCCAGTTCTCTCGTATACTCTAAATAGATGTTATGTACAGGTGTATTTCTGTACTAGTGCATAAAAAGTTCAATTTCATAGTTTCCACTGAGGAAAAAATATATTTAAATATTGAATATGAATGTGAAGACAATGGTTTACACCATTACATGCAATCTACAATATTCTCACCTCCATGTTCAGATGTGATGTTTATACTTTTTTTGTAATGCAGTTATCCATAAATTCTAAGACAATACTTACGTTAGCTTTATTGTCTTGAGCAGCATTCTAATTTTTTCTTTGCAAAAGTATTACAGAAACCCCCCCAGGCTGATAATATACAAAATGTGAGAGATGTTTTGCGTGAAAGAGGGACAACACAATTCTTGTAGATTTTAAAGTAGCTAAACTAACATGTAAAAAAACTGTTGCAGTAACACACTTTCTTATGATTTCTAAATTACATCAACGAAAGGAGCAGAGTTTTAATACTAAAATTCACTTGCAGTGAGTATACTGTACTGGGTTTGTTCAGCAACATTTAATTGTTTTTTTGTTGGAACTTGTAGTACGATATCTTGAAACGTAATCATGCTGGAATCTCTTGATGCCATCTCATATGTGGTACTTCTCATACCATTGCCTGTCTGTTCCTATGCACTGTTGTCCTGGTTCTGGCAAGGATAGAG